GACTATAAAGAAATAACTGAAAAACTAGATTTTCTGAAAGGGGAAGGAAGAAGTCATATAGCCATTTAAAGTCAGATATTACCATAAATAAATAAAATGCAGTAGGGGAAGATCAAACTTGGGAACTGAGATGTTTTATTTAAGGAAAAGTTGTGGTCTCACCTAGGGCAATAATGTTGGCAAACGAAAAGAAGGTACAGATTCAAGTGATAATTTAAAGGCAAGATTGATATACCTAACAGCCAGCTTCCTAAATACAGAAAACAATGACTCAGAGAATAGAAACATTTGCCCATGAAAGGTTAATATAAGCCATGAATTTACTTTCTTTTCTTTTTAAAGTTTAATCAATAGCTACTAAAGTAGGAGTAGTATGAAATTAATTATTGGGCAGTAATACTGCAGATTGTTTTAGCCAAGGGGGAGTTTGATATTGGCACATGGAAACTAACATAGAATCTAAAGATCTGTGAATACAAGAACCCCCTTTTAGAAATCTAAGCTGGACACTGATTCTTCTGCCAAAATCTAGCCTCCAAAATGGCTCCAGCTATCTCGCTGTGACTTTTAGGACAGTGATGAGGGATACAAAAGACAAGCCTCTAATCAGAGATAGTTCAGAGATGAAAATCAGTTGCAGGACCCTGGAAAAAAAATTTCTGTATAAACAATAATTTATAGGAGGCTTTTGCAGATATAACAGAAAGGAAGCATCCTTAATACAACAAATGGGGATTCTGTTATTTAAAACCTGAATTATAAAAGCCTGAAATTTTATCTGCAATTTTTATTAAAGGCTTTGAGAAAAAAGAAAACATTCATCCTAAGTCTCTGTGGGGCATAAAAATGACCTCCTGACAGTGCAAAACCAGACAATAAAAGAACATTCAGAGAGAGAAGCAATCCCTTTAATTTCACCAAGTCCTTAGTGAGGAAAACTGGATGCTAGTTAGCAAAATCACACCATATATTATCTATTACTGTCAGTTACACAAAAGAAACATACTGTAGTCAACTGTGTGGCAAATGTGCACTGCTTTCATTAGGTGCTATGGTTTAGTCATGCTGCACTGATCAGCTAGTGGACTTTATGGCATCTCAAGGTACTGACTTCCTTCAGGTGTTGCTCTCAAGAAATGGAGTAACTAGAGTTACAGGATGGATGCCAACTGCAGTGCACAGCTGGCAGCTCAATTCAAATCATGGCTGATTCTGCTCTGGGTTTTTCCAGTGTGTGATATGTACCCAAGTAAAGATACCTTGTGAATACTTATTTGGGCTTTCAACTCAGATAGATATCCTGAATTCAAACCCTGGAGCCGCAACTTACTGACTGGATAACCCTGGGAAATGACTTTACTTTTCTGAGACTGTTTTTTCATTAATAATAAGGGGAATATTAATATCTAATTTTAAAATTGTTATATCAGATACAGTATATGTTAAGGGTCTAGCACTGTGGCACATGGTAGGTGCTCAGTTAATTATAATTATCAGCAATTATTGTTATAAGAAACATCAAATTCTGAAGTGTAGACTTCTAGGACTGGTGAGAAAGAGTTGTAGAAAACAGGACAAATCATTTAGATGGGCTGCATTGATGGATAGCTCTTAGTTCTTCCAACACTATTCAAGCAGGTAACAAGCCCACCCTAAACAAAAGATCTCAGAGGAAAAAAAGAAGGTAAAATTTAAAAAATCTATTTGGCTATCTTTTTGAGACTTAATCATCAGTTTTCATGAAAAACCCTTAGAATATATTCTCTAACACCAAGACATATAAGTGCTCAACATATTTGTTAAGCAAACGAATGAAAACATAAATGAGAAAAATTATTTTGCTAATTATTTCTTTTGTGTGCTGTTTTGGGCCTAGTTTTGTAGTCATGTGAAACTTGCTGCTTCATAAGTCCCAAAGACAGAAATGGCTTTTTAAAAACTCAATTACAGTTATTAAGTTGTTTACATGCCTGTTTTTCCCACGAGACTATAAGCCACATACCTTTCATCACTCACTCAAAAACTATTTATTGAGTGCCTATAAGTACCAGGCATAGAATATGGTACTATATTAAATAAGTTTGTAATCCTGGGTAGAGATGTTTCCAAGTGGTTACATATTATATGTCTCAACAGGAAAAAAAAAAAGAATATTCCTTTGAGATAAAAACCATTTTCTATTAGTGTGAACACCAAGATATTGCTTATTGTCACAAGGTTTGATATTATTTAGAGAAGAAACCATTTTAAGAAGTGAGGAGAAACACAGAACATTTTTACATAGACTAGGATAAACAAAAGGGGGGAATAAACCCAAATAGACATTTTCAATGAATTGCTAATTTGAATTACAAGAGAAACAACCTAACCACTTGAATAAGAATGTTTACTAAGAAGCAAACAAAACAACCATTACCTTAGCTAGCATGATTTCCAGTAGGCAGATTATCCAATTTTGCTAATCCTATTCTCAAATCAATAATGGATTATTATGTGTAATGAATATCTTTTCCAGAAATCAGCTACCAGTAACTCTTCAATTACTTTTACAAATGGGAGGGAGAAACCTTTTCATGACATGTTACAAATAACCAATAAATTTTACCATTTACATGCAAAGTGAACACTAAACTAATGGTTATTTCAAAGCAATCTTCCATAATCATGGTGTCAAAAGAGAATGAGGAAAATTAAATCTCAGCACATGTACATTTTTTAAATACAGCAGTATAATGCCCCTTTTCAGTCTCAGTAGGTAGAATAACACTGTATGAATTTTGCTGCAGGGATTCCTTTCATTATTTTATAATTTACTAATGTTTGTGGTAGCTAGAGCTAAATCAAAATCTTTATTTTGGTCAAACCCATTACCTTAACTTATGACCATTTACAAGATATTTTTTGTTATGATCAGTACTTAAGTTCATAAATTTTGCTATACTTAAAAAATTATAAAGATTTTTTTAAGTAAAATAATCAAAGTTTTTTTAAGTAAAAAAATCTGGAACTTTTATTCTAAGCATGATTTAATACATAGTATATTATAGATTCTGCATAGTTCACTTTTTAGTAAGTTAAAGACTAACTAAAATAACTAGGTATGCACAATTATATTGGATATTTATAATAATTAACAAGAATATCCCTACACATCATAAAATGAGAAATGTTTATGTATTCTAAAAATTATTCAAAACAGAATTACAGTTTTAAAGAATAGCACTATTTCAGAACAATGTATCAAGCCATTGCATTATGATTGATTACCTAATCATTATTTCATTCTAAAAATAGAAAAGGGGCCATGATAAATCCATGAACAAAGAAAAACACTAAAGAATAGCAATGAAATTTTTAGGGGAATCTCCACATTATGCTAAATCATTCATTGTAGAGACTTATTATATATGAGAGCAATAAAATAATGATACTTTGGCTACTGCCTGAGAGTTCAAAATATTTTTTGAAATCGTGCTTTTTACTCTATTAGAAAGTAAGTGACACTTTGGCCAGCTTCATTGGTGTCATAATACAACATTTAGCCCGTATTAAGTACCTAAGAAAGTGTTAAATCAATGAGTGAGGGAATCAGTTGCTAATGAACCACTAGTTTAAGATTCAGAAGCTTCCTAGCCCAGGTCTGCCAGTAACTAGTATATGATCCTGAACAAGTCACTTAAAGATATGAATTGGATGTACTTCAGGATTCCTTTTAGTCCTTTGGACCTTCGTTTTTATGACACCTACATTCCTACCAGTCTTCATGCGTATAAAAAGATGAACACAAACAGTAGGGGGCAGCAGAACACTTCTGGCTTATATTTTTAGTTTAAACTACTCTCTGAATTCTGAAGAATTTCATCTATTCCAATCTTTAAACAGCTTTTAAAAATCCAACAGCCTAGATGGTTTTGTCAGTGTCTTCATTATTGAGAGTCACAGCGGCTTATTTTGCAGTCTTCAAATCAGATATGACTGACAGGGTAAATTGAGGGCACCATAGAATATATTTTACTTTGAATCAAAAAGAACAATATATTCAATGGTATTCTTATAAATGAAAATTAAAACTCACATCAAATCATGTGTTTTAGGCTTTAAGTCTGCAAGTCCCTTTTCTACATAGCTCCCCATCTTTTAGTTTATATTGGTTGATATTTTAATACAAGCTATGCTTCATAGAATGAGTTATTAAATTAACAAATATACAATTGACTTCATATAATTGACTTACCTGATGGTCCAAGTTATACGTCACAGTACAACTATGTTTATTTTCAAAGAGATGTATGGCTATAAGGGTACACATTTTGGAAATTTTTTCAGCTCCATATCAGAAAAAAAAGAATACTGCCTTAAGATCACAAAGGGGGCAGTGAATAGGGATAAGAAATTGGGCGTAAAAGGACTGTTGGTAAATACATTTGTTGTAATTCCTAAGGTGATAGCCCTGTCAAGAAGTATTATTTATTCATAGTTTTTTTGTTTGTTTGCTTGTTTTTGAGTTGGAGTCTCACTCTGTCACCCAGACTGGAGTGCAGTGGCCCCTCCCGGTCACCGCAGCCTCGACCCGCTGGGCTCCAGCGATCCTTCCCCCTCAGCCTTCCGAGTAGCCGGAATTACAGGCATGCGCTACCATGCCCAGCTGATTTTTGATTTATTGTAGAGATGAGGGCTCGCAGCCCAGACGGGTCTCGAACCCGCGGGCTCAGGCAATCCACTCACCTCAGCCTCCCAAAGGCGCGGGATTACAAGCTGAGCCACCGAGCCTGGCTTTATTCATGTTTTAGTTAGAGATTTAGAAGTTGCCACTGTGCTCTGTGAAATGCTTAACACACTGAAAACTGATACATTTGCAGCCCATTTACCTTAAAATATAACAAGTTCCTCTCCATTTTTATGTAATACAGCAAACACATACCTCTTCTGCATGAGAAGAAAGGATAGTAGAAAGGTTCATGAAACTTTAATACCCATTTGAAGGTAATGAATATATTTACCTGCTGCAAAAAGCATGACGGCAACAGGTCTATAGAAGCGCCTTCGAGATCCCACGCAGATAGAAATCAAACCCACCAGGAATGCAATGAGAATGATGGCAGCACCGACCAAGAGTAAAACCAGAGTAGCAATCTGCCAATCTGGAACAAAAAAAGAAAGGCATCGCTTTTTAAGCAGTAAGTCCTCAAAGAATTAACAAAACTATGCTGGGCAGCCTTCACCTTGCTGTGGTTCAATAGATGTGATTTTACTGCATGCTAAGCATCCTTTGGGGTTTGAAATGTTTTGTAATAAAAATTAATATAAATGTCCTTACTCAGAAAAAGTCTCCTATGCTAACCTCAGCAGAGTTTTTAGACCAGGGGTTTGCCAGGCTTTTTTTCCCAAGGACCCTATTAAGCATTCATGTTAAATCGAGTGTCCCCTCTATGACCTATTTTCAATATTATGATTTAATTTTTTATTGAGCTATAAAGTTCACAAATCCTAAGTATAGAAAGTAGAGAAGTTGATGAATTTTTATAGATATTTATACAGCGATGAAACCATCATCCAGATTAAGAAATAGGATATTTCCATCACTCAGAACGCTCCCTCGTGCCCCTTCCAAGTCAATAACTACCCTATCACCCAGGCTACTGAGGACATCTGTTACCATAGATTGACTGAGTCTTGTCTGTCCTTAAACTTCATATAAATGGCTCAAACGCTTTTGTGTCTGGCTTTTAAGTTTCTCATATGAATCCATGTTGCTACATGTGACAGTAGTACATTTTTTTAAATTGCTGTTTCTTCCCCAACTAAGACAACCCCCAGTAAATTAGCATCAGGAGGATTTATTGTTTCCTTTTTCCTCTCCTTTATTATTTCATTCTAATCTCACTGTTGCGTTTAGCACCGCAGGGATTGTTTCTGAAATTAAGTATTCCCAGGAAGCCAGAATGGGCTATAAACGGTTGCTGGGTCCCCTTTCTTCATTCACACACAGAGACAGTAAGCATATATTGACCACTATGTGCAAGCCTCTATACACAGACACTTCAAAGGAGTCCCTCACACACTTAGTGACACGTAAACCTTATTAAAATGCAGTTGTCATTTCTTATAAAACAAAAATAAAAAATGGAGTGACAAAAATTGGCCCATTTTCCATTCATAAGAAGGGTAGAATGTTTCCTCAGAACACATAAAGTTATGTATAATAGTACTATACAGGTTAAAAAGCATCACATAAAAAGATACTCTGAGCCAGGCTCAATGGCTTAGCCTGTAATCCCACACCTTGGGATGCTGAGGTGAGTGAATTGCCTGAGCCCGTGGGTTCGAGACCCGCCTGGGCAACTTGGTGAGACCTCATCTCTACAATAAATCAAAGAATTAGCTGGGTGTGGTAGCGCACGGCTGTAGTTCCAGCTACTTGGAAGGCTAAGGCGGAAGGATCACCAGAGTCCAGCAGGTTGAGGCTGCAGTGGCCGGGAGCAGCCACTGCACTCCAGTCTGGGCGACAGAGTGAGACTCCAACGCAAAATCAAAAAGATACTCTGGAGCACTCTTCAATGGTGGTTGCTTAAAAGACCCAGGTTGCCTCTTCTGGCCCTCAGTTTAATGTACGTGCAGCAAACGCAAATAGATTTTAATTTATCATCACATTGCAATGGATTCTATCCTAAGTCCAGAACTCGTGATATTTTGATGCTTCCCTCTGAAAGATCCCTCCAGAAAGCTTCCAAAGTGTACTCTTTGCTGCCGTAGGATAAAGGACGAGCAGAGCAAAAGATTTTCTTCTTTTATTTATACTTGTATATCCCTGCCTCAACTCTTCTACATCCTCTCCTAAGAAATTCTGGATGCTTCACAGGCTCTCAACTAGAACTTGCACTGCAATCAAGAAATAAACAAACAAGAGGAAAACAGAACAAATCTACACATCTTCAAAAATAAATATGAGTCACAAAAAAGTGGAGAGTATTTTTTATGCTATCTATTTGTAACAAAGCCATGCAACTTCAAACAAAGCGTATCAGATTTTCAACTAGAAGTTAAAAAGACAGCCATACTATCACTTTTCTATTCCACAACAGCATGTAGCTTTGAATTAAAAAGCCAAAAGAATAATCTTTACATTTGGAAGTTTCTAAAGTTCTTTGGAAAAGTTTATACATAGCACAATTATTTTGCACTTTCACATAATTGAAATCCTTCTGAAAACGTGTAAGTTCAAATTTCTCACTTAAAACATCAAAGCTTAATTATATCAAAGTGTTTAGGGTACAAAGAAAAAAACAAGATTTATCTACTATCCATCAATCAAATTTCTAGATAATTTGATTAAGGATACTTTCTAATTGGACTATTGCTTTTACAAAAAATTTATAAAATTACTTTTAGCAACTTTCCCTAAATTATTTTATATAAATAAGAACTTATAAAGTAGTTGTTTTATTGTAAATAACGATATATTTACCCATTTAAAAATATAAAATTAGCCAGGTGTGATGCACACGCCTGTGGTTCTGGCTACTTGGAAGGCTGAGGCAGAAGGATCGCTGGAGTCCAGCAGATCGAGGCTGGAGTGGCCGGAAGCATGCCACTGCAACTCCAGTATGGGCAACAGAGACTCCAACTCAAAACAAAAAAAATGCAATAGATTTCTTTTTTCCTGATAAGCTCCTTCACATAGCTAGCTCAACATGCATAAAATGCCACACATTTGGCTATTTTCACTTTCAGCCCAAAATCAAACAGGAATTTTCATCACTCTTCTGCATTTTAAGTATCCTCAAAGAATAGCTAAAATACACGTTAGCTTGCATTTTGTAAAGATAGACTGAGATAGAAAAAAAGCAAAACAGGTTTTCGCTATATAGGGCCAGATAATAAATATTTTTGGTTTTGTGAATCATGGTCTCTGATGTAGCTACTCAAATCTGCTCTGTAGTATGAAAACAGCCATAGATATTTATGTAAATGAATGAGTCTGACCCTGTCCCAATAAAACTTTTATCTACAAAAGCAGTTGGTGGGGCCGGGCTTGATGGCTCAGCCTGTAATCCCAACACTTCGGGAGGCCAAGGTGAGTGGACTGCCTGCGTCCGCGGGTTCGAGACCCGCCTGGGCAACTTGGCGAGACCTCATCTCTACAATAAATCAAAAATTAGCGAGGACGTGGTAGTGCGCGCCTGTAGTTCCAGCTACTTGGAATGCTGAGCGGAAGGATCGCCAGAGCCAAG